ATGAAGTGGGCATTCACCCACGAAAGCTTATGCTCCAATACTTCTGTTAGTTTTAAAGGTGCCACAGGACCCTCTGTTGTTTAGTCTAAATTAAGGTTTTATATCACCTGTTTTTCAAATAAATTCTGATGTAAATTCTGATTTATGAGGGTTCAGGAAAATATAATATTTATCTAGAGTATCATGCTTTATACATACAGAGCCAGATTTAAAAAACCTGGCCTCCCTTTTGATGACTGCATTTAAGAGGGAACAAGTAATTGCACCTAACTTTGCAGGTCACTAACAGGAAGCCAAAAATTAGGCTCAAAATATGTGCACTGAAGACATATATCACCAGAATAAAGGAATTATTTAGTTTTGTTAAGGTTATTTTTTTGTTTTTCATAATGGGTGAAATTCAGCCAGTATCAATGACCAGCACAAGGTATATATGCCCTTCTTAGTCCCACTTACACTCTATTTTGAGGATTTATGTGAACTTAAATGGTTCCTGGGCCTTGTTCTAGCCCCCTGCACTGAGGTGAATTTCACCTAAACAGGACAGTTTTCATACCTTTATAATAAAACAGAATCAGCATCTAATTGTCTGTAAGCCAAGTCATTTATCACATTAAAGTCACATGGTTTAGGATTCCATTCAGGTCTCACTTACTTTGTAGGGCACCATCCACCAAACTTGACATTGTTTTATATAAATACACTAAAAAGTAGTAATCAGTCATACTAATCACATATTGACTGATATCAGAAAATTGCAATCAGATAATTGTTTATGACTGGTGACAGAATAAACTGATTATGATTTTTTTAAAGTACAATTATGGTCAGAAAATGACTATGCTAAAATAGCATCTTCTCACTCAACATATCTGCAACATGTGTGATTGCTGATTCATATCTGTCTACTATAATTTTTTTTTTACTACAGCTATTGTTATTACTTACAACTGTTAAACTGTGCAGAATAAATATAACTATGAGAGAGTAATCTGGATTCTCAGACTCCAAAATTGCACACCCCAAAAACTCAAATTATGTGGGTTTAATCCAAATGACATTGGAGTAAACAAATTGGTTAGTTATATATCTAACTACCCATAGCGGATATGTACTGTTTATGCATGCAAATCTGAGATTGTGGGGTGTCTAAAAATTTGATTACATTAATTTAGAAGCCAAATTGAAGTTGTACTGAAAATGTGGCCTAATATTTTTATGTGGGCAAAACTGTCCTTTTGCTCTCTTTACTCCATGTATCATAATGCATAGGTATACATTTTAGGTTTGCCTGAAGGTAACATTTGTGTAGTCTCATGTTAATTTCTAAGCACCTCGTGAAACATTAAGCATGGCTTATTTATATAGGCAGCATAGGATCAACCTCAGAAACGAACTACATATGAAAGACAGTGTGCTCCAGCATTATGCTTCACAGCTTTACTAGAGTTTTGTCCCCAGGCTTGGTATAGTATTATAGACTTACCCCAAACATTGACATTATAGTTCTTTTCTGTTTTCCCAGCAACATTTGTGGCTTCACAAGTGTAACGTCCAGTGTCTTGAACCTGAGCTTCTTCAATCTAGAAATAAAATTAAACCTTTTGACTCTCATTTTGATGAGTAGGTTGTTATTTTGTGTAGAGAGTGTTATGTATTAAATGTTATTAGGGTGAAGTTGTTTATTTTTACACAAGTCAATCTAAAACTTTAAACATAAATTTAGCAGGGATGATACACTGTCCTAAAAACCCAGGAATATGTGCTCCTGTCAGGGTTCCTTCCCCACTCTGAACTCTAGGGTACAGATGTGGGGACCCGGATGAAAGCCCCCTAAGCTTATTTCTACCAGCATAGGTTAAAACCTGGTATGCTGCCACCACCAAGTGATTTAACAAGCAACAGGGAAAGGACCACTTGGAGTTCCTCTTCCCCCAAAATATCCCCCAAGCCCTTACACCCCCTTTCCTGGGGAGGCTTGAGAATAATATCCTAACCAATTGGTTACAAAGTGATCAAAGACCCAAACCTGGGTCTTTGGGCAATGGAAAAATCAGTCAGGTTCTTAAAAGAAGGATTTTATTAAAAAGAAAATGTAAAAATCATCTCTGTAAAATCAGGGTGGAAAATAACTTTACAGGGTAATTAGATTCAAAGAGCCCAGAGGAACCCCCTCTAGCCTTAGTTTCAAAGTTACAGCAAAACAGGGATAAACTTCCCTCTAGCAAAGATAAAATTCACAAGTTGAGAAAAAAAAGATAAACTAATACACCTGCCTGGCTGTTACTTACAAGTTTGAAATATGAGAGACTTGTTCAGAAAGATTTGGAGAACATGGATTGATGTCCGGTCCCTCTTAGTCCCAATAGCGAACAGCCACAGAAACAAAGAACCCAAACAAAGCCTCTTTTCCCCCCCCCCCCCCCCATTTGAAAGTATCTTTTGTCCCCACTGGTTCCTTTGGTCAGGTGTCAACCAGGTTACTTGAGCTTCCTAACCCCTTACAGGTAAGGAGGAATTTAGGCCACCCCTATGGTTATGACAGCTCCCCATAGCACTCATCCATTATTCATATTAGCATCAATGGGACTAATGCTGTAAAGATCTCCTCTCAAGTAGCTGGTAGCCTGGAAAAAGAATAGTGCCTTCATGACTGATAAGCGGCCGAGGAAGTAAGCGCTACAGGAGTCTCACAAGTGAACTTTACCTTCAATACACTTCCATCTTCAGAGATGCTGAGGCCTGGTTTCTTCAGCAAAGGTCGGCCATCTTTGAGCCAAGTCAGCATGGGTGGAGGAATGGCATTGCTCTGGCAGCGCAGCTCCACTGCTTGGCTGATGAGCACAGAGACATTCTGTTCTTCTCCCATAATGTTTGGTGGAACTAAAACAACACATAAAAGAAAGAATAAATCCCCTGGCCAACACATACTTTCACAAGACACCCTGCGGTAACTAAAAAGCAACTGCATCGGTACTCTTCAATCCGTAAAAAGCAACTTAGTGTGCTGTTTCAACCCTTCTTTCCTTTCCTGCTATATTTTTTAAAGGAGGCAAATTAAATATAAAAACATTAAGTTGCAGTCAAAATATAATAAATCAAGAACTGAAAAAAGTTGAGGTTCTAATAACAACATTTGCTTGGCTATATTGCACATGTCTAATGGGGTTTTTATTTCTGCTCTGTACCGCACATCTGCAATGCGACATAAAAGAGGCTGCAAGAACTTTAACTTTTACATTTCCTTTTATTTTTAACTGTGCAACCTTAAAATTCCATAAATGATGTGTAATATTAAACAAAATATGGGGGAGAGAAAAAGGAAACACTGGGATTGTCTGTGAGAAATATCTAAAATGACCTAAAGAAGAGCACTGTGTAGCTTGAAAGCATGTCTCTTTCACCAGCATAAGTTGGTCCAATAAAAGGTATTACCTCATCCACTTTAGGAGAAATACCACAAACCTTCTTCAAAACAAAGATGTTTTCTTAATTAGTGCATATGAGATTAAAACTGCCCCAAGGTACTACTCAATACATCAGCAATACAGCTCTCAAAATATCATGAGAAAAAACCCCATAATATAGCCTTGCTTTTCTTAACACAGGAAGTACTAAACAGAACAGCTGATATCGCAGCTTGGAAATAATTTAGGGGAAAAGTCTGGTCTCTGTGGATAAGAAACATAATAACTGTAAAAAAAATCTGTTTATCTTACTTTCTTTGTAGAATTTACAAAAGGCCTAGATTCTTCATGACAGTTTGTGGAACTGAACATTGAAAGCTGACCTGTTACTGCAGAAAGCTAATTTATTTCCAAATATTTTTCACCAATTACTTCTCCTTTCAGCTACGTGACTTGAACTATGTTCAAAAGGAAACTGCATTACAAAACTGAGAAGCAGGGACTAAAAAAAATAGAGAATCTGTTTCTGAAGGAACAAAGGATTAAAATGAATCTATTTTACAGGATATGTTAACAAACTTGTTCAAACTCCTAGTTTGGCCAAGTATGTACCAAGTCTCTAACCATCTCAGCCCCAGTAGCATTCCAAATTCTTCTCTCCCTCTCATTTCTTAATTAGTCTACCTACTGGAGTTAAGTATTAACAATAATAATACTTTTTGGTGACAGTCTTCAAAACTACTCAAGATTGCCATGCAGCTGAGTTTAATCCAGACCAGCCTCTATTTCAATGCTCTTTTTAAGTATGCATCACTACAGTGCATAGAACCCTCTGTCACAGCTGGTGAAATCTCTCACCTTTGCTGTAACCTCAGAGAGGACAAGTACATCCAGTAATGGGTTGTGGAGACTCTTAGAGAAGGTCCCACCAGCTCAAGACTGAGAAACATTGGCGGGGAAGTGTGGAGGAAGCTAACATTGCCCTGTCTCTGCTATACTTGTCTTGTAGATACACAGAGGAACATATTCGTTCTCAGTATCTGGTCTCTTTCCTAGTTTATGTTCGATTAGGCCCAGCCTTCCTTAAAGTAGGTCTAAGAGTTGAACCCTTGTTATGGATAAAAACAGTTTGGGCATCAATTTCAATGTTCATTCTATAGGAAGCTGTCAAAATGCTCACCGTAAACTCTGAGATCAATATCCCTTTGTTTCTCCCCAGCAGCATTCACTGCAACACAGATATACTTTCCTGTGTCACTGATCTGAGCGCTAGTCAGTGCCAAGACACGACCCCCAGAGAGAACCTGTAAAAGAAAGGTTGAAAGGACACGTTCATTATACACTTCTTAGTTTCTCTAGTAATATACTGCAGTATAACAGAGTTAGAACCATTATCTTTCATCTTGAAGCAAAAAAAAAAAAAAAAAAAAATCCTATTACATCTCTTTTCCCTTTCCCCTGTGTTTCTCCCAACTCAGATCCTGCAAAGACTGAAGCACATGCTTAATTTTATGCAGGCCCCAATTGGGCTATTTGTATTCGTAAGTCTTTTCAGGATCTGGGCTTTAGCCTCTCACTCTCTGCTTCACACCTATTTTGCCTCCCTCTCTGCCTGGTACAATCTCCATTTTCTACCACATTCCCTCTCTCCCCTCTTTCAAATCTCTCCTTAAAACCTACTTCTTCCGGGAATCATCCTTTCCATCTTCTCTTTTCCAACTCCCCAGACTGCTTTTTCCCCAACTATTATTTTGTGTCTTATCTTGGCTATCTCAATGGGAATCCTTCCTTAGCACATACTTGTAACTTGCAATTTTACTGTATGGTGCTATATACATTATTTTTATTAATAACAATGCTACTAGTTATTAGGGTGACCAGA